TCTTCATTATGTCTCAATATATTAAGCGAGATTTCCATATAACCCCATACATTTATTATGCATAGCGTGTTGCAAAGAAACCTTTATATTTAGTCGTTGTGAAATGGAATGCATAATTAATGTATGGGGTTATATGGAACTCTTTCCTGTATCTGGCGGGTAGGTGATAGCTAAACGTACTTTGCGGGCAATTTTGAATGAGAAACCGGTGTTTTCTAGATAAAAATTAGCGATAAAAAAGCACGAGGTTTCGACCTCGAATTGAATCGCACTGTTTGTTTAGTGTTGGTTTGCCTCCATTGCACAAAGTTTTAGAATCTTAAGAAAGTGTCAGAATAAACTTAACTGTTGAAATGTTTTTTATCAAAGAACTCAAACTGCCAATACTAAACAAACAATGCGATTTAATTCGAAACAAATTATTTGTTTAGCCGGAGTACTTCTTGTTATTATTATTCCATTTTTTGTCTCAAAAAGTTTTAGCACTTTGTTACATATTTTGTCACATATTAGCGTTCGTCACATTTTTACCATTTGAACTTTTTCTACATTTTAATGCTAGTTTAGAAAACTTTTACCCGCTTGAAAATGACCTCGGAGAGGTCGAAACGTTGTGCTTTTTTTATCGCTAATATATATTTTGAAATCGATCTCTAAGAATATACTTATTGAAATCAGTGCTCATAAAGTATTTTAAAATAGTTGAATGTAATACCATTGCTTACCTCAAAATGTAATAGGAAATTTTGGAAGTGTAGATAGAAAGTGGAGATGTAAAAAAATCGGACGGTAAACTAATTGAATACCGCTCCTGAAGTATTTTTCTCTGGGTCAATCGGTTTTGAAATCCGATATCTTATTCATTCTGCCAGTGCTCGACTAAAGACTGACTCAAAGCAGCAACCAAATTTATTGGTTAGAAAGTCATCGACCTCTGCTCAACGAACGATCCAGTATTTCTTCATGGCCACCGCTGCAGCACCTTCGTTTCATTCGACAAAAGAGACAACCAATTACGCCCGGTTATGCAGGCTTCTGGTGGAGGTGGGATCAGATGTTCTGAGACAAACATTTGAAAAGAAGCGTCCCCCAGGAAACCTGGACACGGTCCTGTCAAGCCCTCCAGTCCGTGCCGTGCTCCTGTCACTGAAGAAGAAGGGAGTGTTAAAGCCTCAACAATGGGATAAGCTTTATCCTGCTGTCAGGTCTTCAGTGTCATCGAAGAATTTCAACATTACTCTTCTAACACTTCTGTTGAGGAACATTTGTGGTCTTGTTGCTCCATCTACCTACTGGAATACACTTCCTACTGCAGCAGACATGTCCCTTGAGGCAGATATCGTTCGCATCAAGTGCTACAGAAACACAATTTATGGTCATGCTAGAGAGGCTTCAGATGATGACGCAACATTCAATCAGTACTGGCAGGACATCCAAGGTCCATTGGTGAGGCTGGGAGGAGCAGAGTACCAAAGTGCTATTGATGATCTGAAAAAGGAGTGCATGGATCCCGATTTCGAGGAACACTGTAAAGAGCTTCTTAGGCAGTTGGTGAAGGATGAAGTTAGCATCAAGGAACGACTCGATGAAATGGCTGAAAGCCTGAACGAATTAAAGGAAGCAA